TGCCATTTAAAAAGACACAGTTGGGATCCGCCCAGAAAAAATCGAACACCCTGTGTGACCGCCAATATTTTTATTTTGTCGAGCTCGAGCAATAAGGTAATATTATAGAAAATTAGATTCCTACCTGCTTCCTATATAGAGATATGGAACACCGCGCCACTGTTGCAGGACCCTGTATATGAGGAAGCAACTGGAAGTATTCCAATCACTTCATAAAGCGTTGTGAAACATATTTTATCATCTTCTATTTGAATCATACACACGTAGCTAAACGGTCATAGAATAACGGACAATGTGTTTTATTCATTAAAGAAACTTTATGAGAGTTCGAATTATAGTACCTACCTATAGCACTTATTCAAACATTTTCAATAGAATTCATTTTTCATAAGTATTACGAACGCACAAAGTGGCAAAAACTTTGTGTTTCATTCAGTTACAAATTTCACGCAAACTTCACTTTTGAATTAGTGTAATTTTTATAATAAACGCATTGACGCCGTAGAATCAAACATTAATCGATTCTTTCTTGTGAAATTTACAGATACATCGTGTATATGGATGAAAACGCTGACGCAGAAGGCAATTACACGTTGATAGCCCGGAAGCCGCTCGAGAACAAGGAGAATGAATACGGATTGTTTCCGGTTGGAGTGTTTGCATTGCGTCGAATAGATTCTAAATTACCTGTAAGTATTTCCCAATTCTTAACTAACCAATACTACAACGGCCTAATTCCCCGGGGATGACTTTGAGACGGACCAGGTCTGATTATATATGAATTGATAGAGCGGATCTGATATAGTTTCTCACCATATGGGAAACTTTTTTATTATATCCACTTTTCAGAAAATTTTATTCTTGATTAAAATTGGTGCACTGCGGGAAACTTGGATTTTTGTTATCAACATTCTAAATTTCCGAACGGTGTATAGGGAAGAACGAAAAATAGAAATTTTGATCAATAGTAAACTACCCTTATTTGCGACATTATCAAAAAAGTTTGATTAAGAAAAGTTGTTAAAGTTTGAAAACAATATTCAGATTTGAAATTACAGCCGCCTACGTAACAAAACAAAAAATTGATCAATAGTAAACTACCCTTATTTGCGACATTATCAAAAAAGTTTAATTAAGAAAAGTTGTTAAAGTTTGAAAACAATATTCAGATTTGAAATTACAGCCGCCTACGTAACAAAACAAAAAACTCAACTGTTTTATTGTGTACGAATTCCAGAGCTGTCGGACTACTAGTTTGTGGGATAGAACATTTTGAATGAAGTAACTTCTGTTTGCTTGAAGAGAGTGGATAAAAAGAACTTCCGTTTGTTTATAAAGCATTGCTTTTTGGCGAAAACAATAATGGTGAAGCCAAGGCATGACCTGATAAACATTATTCGGACTTTGCACCAGGACGCTTTAACGAGGTGAAATAACCACCGAGGACGATGCACGCAGTGGACGCCCCTAAGGAGCTGGTACTGACGAAAACATCAAAATAGTCCACAAAATAATTTTAGATGACCGTATAGTGAAGTTGATTGAAATAGGTTGGGTTAGCTCAGATCTGAAGTGAGTGGGTCTATTCGACCTTCCACCGCAACCCGCAAGGGTTTATTGTGGCTCACACCTATTCACGCTCGACCAAATAAACCCAGGTTCTTAACGAAGCTGATTAGTTTGTATGGTGACTGGTCTTTCAGGTCAGATGGTAAGAGTACGGCTCTGTCGAACCCTAAAAACCTGATTCGGTCCCCAACGGGGCAGGCACAAAGTATATGCTTTGCTGTTTCATCATTTTCCGAACAGAGGCGACACACACTGTCTTTCGACATCGACAGTCCAAGTCTCTGAATATGATGATTCAAATGACAGTGACCTGTAAGAAGGCCTGTTAGACATCGTAGTTCATCCCTACTGTAGCCCAAAAACTGTTTGGTGTCAAGATTCGAAGGGTGAATAATCGCCTTGGAGTGAACCAATCTTGGAAGATTCTGCCAGAAGTCCATAAATCTTCTTGCCAACCAGGTGTTCAAAGTTTGTTTGCCAAAGCCTGAAGCGTAGCCAATGACAGGTTCTGGTCCGATGAAACTGCTTGCAGCACCCTTCTTTGCAAGGGAGTTAGCAGCCTCATTGCCTTCCAGGTCTGTGATAATAATAATAATAATAATATTTATTTGACTACGTTACATAATATAATATGTTTGTAGCAAAAAGAAGTAGTGACTTGTATGTTTCCACAAAAATGTGTTCTGAAGTCATCGACAGAATAGAAGCAATGCCTCAACAAATAATTTTTCAGTTTTCTCTTGTATGTGTTCAGACTGAGTTCTTTGAAGTCTTGGAGCAAAATATTGTACAGAGAGTAATCTATGGAATTTTTTTGCGAAAAGTGAAGATGAATTCGATTTAATCTAATGTCTAAAGGACGGTTTCTTCTTATGGATTTCAATCAAGACGTAATATAGAAATAAAGTTGGCCATGGCATAATTTTGAGTTTTTTGAAATATTCTTCACAGTGATCCCTGTATCCAATATTAGCCAGCACTCTCAATGCCTCCTTTTGCATCCTAAATATTTGAATGGAATGACATGAATTTCCCCAAAGTTCTATAAATCTTACATATTTTCTTCCAGTGAGATGCCCATCCAAAAAATACGGACCGATAACTCTTTTTCCGAGAATTCCATCCCAAACATTCAGTGACCAACGCTGTTGATGGTTCAGGCAACGAACAAAATGGGGGGTTTTCCGTGTATGATATTGCATGTTATGCCGATTCACAGCTCCATTTTTATGAAAATTCGCTTCATCAGAAAATAACACGGAATCGAAAAAAATAATTTTCCTGATCGATCTTTTCTAAGCCCAATCGGCAAACTTGAGCACGTTTGTCAAAATCTCTCGGGTACTCACATGGGGATTTTCAACAAGGTGAAGAGCAATTTGAAATGCAATCTCTTCATTTGTTACAGGGCAGACACGTTCGAACGTCTCGTGGTTGACATCACCAGTTCTTTCAAATCTTGTTTTTAGAGCCTGAAATGCCCTTCCATCTGTTTGTCATCTTTCAGGGAACTTCCCTTTGTAAATCCTAGATGCAAGGATGCAGTTTCCGTCACTTTCCCCCAAAACTTAGATCATTTGCACCTTATCTTTCAATACATAATTCATAATGAAAATGATTCAATCTACAGCGAAAGAAACTTCAACACATGGCGTTATTGACAAATTCTGAGATTCATTTATTTCATGTCAGTCATGGATAACTGGGTTTTCAAAGAAAAAATCAGTATAAATATTCTTTAGATTTTTACGGATTTCTTATTGTTGAAACCGCTGATAACTATCACTAGATGGTATGAAAAATGCTAATGTACTTCCTCTAAATAATATTTTTCCTTTTTTTTGTCAGCTCTTGTAAAAGCTGATTATTTCCTATCGTTAAAATATCCACCAAACGAATACTAAAAACGAAAATGACCCATAGATTGAATCTCTTGATTAGAACACACTTTGCACACGAAGACTGATGTCTTCCTTACTCCTCTTCCTTAATTTAAAGTTTTAAATCAGTGTCCCTACTTTCAATTCTTCGATTGAGAGATACTGTAGTGAGATAAATGACTGAACGGCTTTTCCTTATCTAAATTGAGTTTAGTAGGCGTTGAAAATCAAATGTCTCATTAGAATTATTCATAGGATGATCTCAAAAAATACATTATTTCAGTTTTGACAACTACTAAGTGTTTAATGAGAGTTTACTTTTTCTTCGTCATTTCCATACACATGAAACAGTTTTGTTTGCGTCTGGAAGTTACTTCTTTGCATGATCTGCAAATCTATTATGAAATTAATTGCTTTCTTCTTTCCTTTGGAACTTTCCCGCATTTTTTGTAGGTAGAAAACCAAAACCTTTCTTTCCCAAATATGGAATGAATATTGTTGAAAATCATGCCCGAAGGGAAATAACGCCGGCCGCCACTAGTAATCATAAACCAAACGTGACGTAGCTAAGAGCGCGCGAATGCACGATGATTCGCCGCTACTCGAGAAGCAGCGAGAATAATGCTACCGACTTCGACAGAACTTTGGCGAAATTTCTACATCATTCGATTACGATTTAAACGCTCGCTGCGAGCATATCGACACAGTCAAGTTGAAGCTACAGTGCTGTGCGCAAAGAGATCTGTTAAGGCGATAGATATTCAAATGATAGTTGAAGTTCAATTGAAGTGTTTGTTGTATTCAAAGTGAGATAAAGTTTTAGTTCAGTTAGTCAACCCACGGGGGAAAACGTAACAATATATTGAACTTCATTTGTGAGAAGTGTATTCAATACATGAGACTATTTACAATGCATTGCCTCTTTCAACACTGTTTCCATAATATTTCTAATATTTTTAACGGTATCATCAACGCATATTCCAGCAGCTCTTCTTATTTCCACCGCTTTGAAGTGTGTTTTTCTGTGAACATCCATAGCCTCCAACAAGGTTTTCTTGACTGGCTCGACATCGGTCAGGATGATATTTCTGTAACAGGCGATTACCTGCAATCCTGATTTCTTGCTACACTCTCCTAGAGCATCCAGTAGTTCTTGGCCTCTGTCCATAGCAGCATTTGTTACATTAGCCAGTCGATCCGAACTGGTAGTTATGTCTGAACTCGCTTTTTCGGTGCAAATCCTGAGGTCATGACGCCCGTCTTTGGACAATTGGTGGATTACTGGACGGGCTTCCAACATACACACAGAATTGTTATGCATTCTAGTCAGTGAATGTTCCAAATTTAAATAAAGCAGGTTGAAGTTCCACCTTGAACAATCGTAAAGAATGTTGAAATTAATGAACAACCAAGTCAAGGTAGTTTATTTGTCATGCTGTGAAACCAATAAATACATCAAATGGAGCACGGTATCTGGTCTTTTCCTACTGACACTACTTTGAAATTTGCTCAGAGTAAGGGGTTATTGCTCGATTGGAATATTATTTCCACCACAATTCCGTTTCGCGTGGAAGTTTTATAAATATATTTCTAAAATCATCTATATTTGCTGGGTATTTCGTAGTAGACCATAAGAGATGATATCGATTTAGGAGGAAGTAATACAGTAATGAAAGTAATACAGTTCAGATATGTAAAAATTATGTTTTATTGTAGTTTCTTTGGAAAACGAAGTAGTTTTTAAAAGTTAAACAAGTTTTATTTGCCAACCTAAAACTTACAAAATACAACTTACAGTCTTACATAATGAAGAACAATAGTGAGAAATTGTGTGTTCCTGACGATATTGAAGAGGCTGCAAAAAGAGCTTCAACTGAATTGTTACCGAAAAAATCGGCTCAGCAGTACGACATCGCATCTTCTCAACTGGTGTAGACTTAAAAACGTCGAAGGAAATTTCAGCGAAACTGTCTTCTGAGCCGATCTAGAGGAGAAATCAAAAATATGGCACTCGTCAACTTTGTGGAGAGAGTCGAGTCTGCTCGTTAAAAATGGTGTTAATACAAGCGAATATTTCAAGGTAATATCTTTTCTAAAGCCGATAAATGAAAGTTATAATATGTCCAACAAATCAAAAACTCTTACGTTTGAACATGTCCAGAGGTTTATAAAAGAGGCACCAGATGGAAAATATTTGATGATGAAAGTTGCTACTATTTTTGGAATATATGGAGCCTGCC